CCGCGCCCCCCCCCCCCCCCAGTAGCTAGCAATCCAAAACAGTCCAGTGGAGCCTGAGCGGTGGGTGTTGCCTTCTGACACACTTCCGGTGATGTCAGGGGGTGTGGCATATGCAAACGAGTCATGCTAATGAGTTATGCTAATGAGCTCCTGCACCTCTTTTTCTACGAAATGACTCCTGGTTACCCTTTTAACTATATTGTTTAATTCTTTAAACGTTTTAATGTTTTTATGTTGGCTGCCTTGCGGACCCTGACTGGGTGGAAAGGCGGCATAAGAATGTTTTAAATAAATAAACCCCCAAGAAAATATTTTTCTCCTATCCCCCCTCCCAAGGACGTAAAAAAATTCTGATAGGAAAATTGGGAAATTTGGAGAAGCAATGAAAAAACAAAAAAACCCCCTATGAAATATTTGTTTCCTTTTAAATGGTTGAAATGTGTTTTAAGAAATAGTTTTGCTCATAGCATGGAAATCGGGGAACTTTTTCCCCAAGTCCGATGGGAATTTTGGGGCACACCGAAAGAATGCCTTGGGAATTTTTGAAATCATTTTCGGAACGAGTAAAATACTTGGTAAGACAGGTTTCTGATCGCTTGAAAAGGACAACATTCCGTTTTCCCTAAAAAAAAAAATAATAGGAATTTTTCAAAAATTCCTCCCTTCATGAAAACCCCTGCTTCTCCCTGGAACTCTCTCCTTCCGTTCCACAATCTTTCAATGACTTCTGGGTTCTCTTCTGGCACCTGGACTCGGTGGGAAATTATCCACTGGACCCCCCACAGAGGCCACTGTGTGATTGGGCTGATGGCCCGATCCAGCTGGGCTGCTTGGATGCTCTAACTAACCCAGTCAAGAAAGGTCTTTGCTCACCGTCACAGTCTTGGCATCCATTTCTGTAAAGATGAATTCTCCCCCTTCAAAATCGCCGTTCATGTAGAGAAGAGCACTAGAAACAGAGGGAGAGGGAATGTCACAGGCCTGGCAGCAGCCCAATCCATTGCACGTTTACTCTGAAGTAACTCCCACTCTCGTCAACGGGACTCGGTCCCACGTGGTCACACAGGAAGCTTTACACTGAATTGTCTACTCAGACTGGCAGCAGCTCTCCAGGGTCTCAGGCAGAGAAAGGTCTTTCACAACACCTCCTGCCTGGTCCTTTTTAACTGCAGATGCTGGGGATTGAACCTGGAACCTTCTGCAGGCCAAGCAGAGGCTCTACCACTGAGACACAGCCCCTCCCAATTATTTATTTCTTTATTAATCCCATCTGTACCCCGCCCTCTTTGCAAAGCAGGCTCAGGGCGGCTCACAGTCGCTGCATAGATAACAATTAAATTTTTAAAAGGGAATCTTTTTTTGCCTTAAATTTTGTTCAATAATGAAAACCTTGTCCTCTATTCATAAAAAATTAATAATAAATAAATAAATAACAATTAAAACAACATAAAATCATCTAAAAACAATTCAAGTCATAGCTAATACAAATTCATGAAGTGCAGGTGATGGTTAATTGGTTGTTTGAGATGGCTGACTTTCAGAGTGTACACAGAGGTCTCACAGTCATTCTGCTCATGATCTTCCTGCAGCGCAGGCTGGATGTCAAAACCAAGGGCCAGGGCTCTATAGTGGTGGCAGCTCCCTAGCTGAAAGCCTGGCGGAAGAGCTCCGTCTCGCAGGCCCTGCGGAACTGCAAGAGATCCCGCAGGGCCCTGATCTCCTCCGGGAGCTTGTTCCACCAGTATGGAATGACTTGCAGTCGGAGACTAGGAAACCTTTGGCTAAAAACTGGTCTCTGCCATGCTGTTATTTGGTGGCCTTTGACAATGCACTCCCCAGCCCTTTATCCCCACTTATTCACGGGATAGAGGGAAATAACACTAGAGCTGCTCTTGGAGGAGTGACAGGAAGGTTGCAGGGGAACAGGAGCAGCTTTGTGTCTCCCCCCCCCCAGCTTGCCAGGCTGTACCTGTAGTCGCGGAAGGTGTACGCGGGGGGCTCCTTCCAACACTCATTGGCTTCGGGGTCCAGGAGGCAGTTGTCCGCGTGGATGGGGTGGCTGAGGTCATTCCGTTTGCCCTGCTGGCCTGCCGGAAACGGGGAAAGGATTTCTTTAACTCTTGCCACGGAGCTCGTGCACCGACCCAGATGACCCAGGCTAGTCCGACCTCATCAGATCTCGGAAGCTAAGTAGAGTTGGCCCTCGCTGGTCCTCGGGTGGGAGACCACCCAGGAAGAAGTCCAGGGTCCGGCCACGGAGGCAGGCAATGGCAAACCCCCTCTGAACATCTCTTGCCTGGAGAGCTCTACGGGGGGTCACCGTGAGTCGGCTGTGACTTGACGGTGCATTCCACCACCATGGAGCTCCTCCCACCTCTCAGACTGGCACCAGCTCTCTAGGGTCCCAGGCAGAGAAAGGTCTTCCACATCACCTACTCCCTGGTCCTGTCAACTGGAGATGTTGCTGGGGATTGAACCTAGGACCTCCTGCATGCCAGGCGGATGCTCTGCCACTGAGCCACAGCCCCTCTTTACAACTCTCCAGGGTCTCAGGTGGAGATCTTCCACATCACCTCCTGCCTGGTCCTTTTTAACTGGAGATGCCGGGGATTGAACCTGGGACCTCCTGCATGCCAAGCGGATGCTCTACCACTGAGCCACAGCCCCACTTTACAGCTCTCCAGGGTCTCAGGTGGAGGTCTTTCACATCACCTACTGCCTGGTCCTTTTAACTGAAGATGCCGGGGATTGAACCTGGGACCTCCTGCATGCCAAGCGGATGCTCTACCACTGAGCCACAGCCCCTCTTTACAGCTCTCCAGGGTCTCAGGTGGAGGTCTTTCACATCACCTACTGCCTGATCCTTTTAACTGGAGATGCCGGGGATTGAATCTGGGACCTCCTGCATACCAGGCAGAGGCTCTTCCACTGAGCCACAGTCCACACTTTCGCCCTGATTTACCTGGTAGGGCAGTTCGACACACCAGATGCGTGTAGGAGAAGTAGAGGGTGGAATTAAGCATAAAGTAGGACTCCACGATCTTGCGGGCTTTCTCGCTGACATCATAGAAGAGGCGGGCGCTCTTCAGAGGGACACGCCCCTCGTATCCAAACTGTAGGTAAGCAAAATGGTTAAGCGTCAATATAAAATAAGTGTCAATGTGGCCAGATATGTGGATACTTAAATCCAGAGACTGGGGCCATGAACGGAAAAGGCAGATCTTTCTACAATTGGGGTGGGGAACAGGTTTTCAGAAAAACCTGAAATCGTAAAAAAAGAAAGCGTTGAGGGTTAAAGAACCCCCATACTTTAAGCTCTAATTTTAAGGAAAACCTTTATAAGAGGATGTATCATTGGTATATGTCTCCAGAGAAATTGTCTAGAGTGTACTAAGGTACTTCCAGTTTATGTTGGAAATGTAATCATCATGAAAGACATTTAATCACGTGTGATGGACTTGTAAGAAAGCCAAAAAAAACCTGGACATAAATACAAATATTAATACAAAAGATTTTAAAGACCAGTGTTCCCTCTAGGCTGAGTTAGTGTGAGCTAGCTCACAGTTTTTTAGCCTCCGGCTTACACATTTTTGTCTTAGCTCAGGAAGGAGGGCTCCAGAGCAAACGAATGTATGCAGCAGCCAAATCGCTCACTCATAACCTTAATGCCAGTAGCTCACAAGACTCCACAGCTTAGAGGGAGCACTGTTAAAGACTAATATTCAGCTGAAACAAGAGTCCCTTTTGTTAGGACTAATGGACAACCCGTTCAAAAGAAGTCATGGAACTTTATTTCTATATATGACTACGGCAGCAAGAATACTATACGCGCAGAAACAGAAGTGTCTGCCAATACCTACAATAGAAGAATGTTTGGAGAAGATGTTGGAGCCTGCAGCAGTGGCTAAACTTACTGTGTTCGTTAGGGAAAAGACAATTAGTTTGTTTATTACAGATTGGAAACCTCTTAGAGACTTTTTTGCAGGGGAAAAACAATAATATGGGGGTTGCCAAGAGGAAGGAAAAGAGTGTGGAGAGGGAGATATAGGGAAAAGGGAGGTGCCCCCTGCAAGTCTGTCACGGATCAGGTGGGGTGTCACCTGACGCTGCCACCACTCTGGACTTAGGATCCCTTGAGAAGGCCCAGAGCACCCTCCCAAGACCTCAGACCTCCCTTTTGGCCAAATAAGGCAGAGTACAAGGAAATGGTTTATTTTATAGGAGGTCAAAACAAACAAGGTGCAGGAATAATAACAGTAAGTGGGTGAAAAGAAAAGAAATCAAATGCCCTAGATATATACTGTCCCTAGCTCACTATCTGACGTGGCCTCAGACTACTCACCCTTCCCTCAGGATGAGGGTTTCTTCCCCACAGCAGCCTCTCTTCTGGCTCTGTTCCCTGGGAAGAAGAACAGCTTCTCCTCTTGCACCAGTTCTTTTATTCCCCAGCCCTCTTCTTCCCTATTGGTCAAAATTGGCACCAAAACTTCCCAAGGCCTTCTGGGGTTTGTAGGCCCAGCATCTCCTACTGCTAGCCAGGCTCCCTGGGCCTAGTAGGCCTCTGGTGGCACTGCCCAGATCATGACAAAGTCCTTGTGGGTTCTCACCAAGCAACTGGGCCAGTGGTAGGCACAGTAGAACTAGCCCTGGGCTGGCAGATGGCACCACGCAACAGGCCCACAGTTTCCCCTGGAGAGAAAGCCGAAGATAGGGGGGGGCAGATATGTAGGTTGGCTGGTAGGTGGGAAGGATAGAAGAAAGCAGAGAAAGGGGTGAGGCCATGGGGGCTTTCAGGAAAGGGAAAGAAGAAACAGTGGGCGAGGGGAAAATGAGACGCCCCCCCATGTGTCCTTGTGAGCTCCCCCACCCATTACTATTATTGGTTATGTCAAGACATTAATCCAAATAGAAACCTGATTTCGGAAGACACCTTAAAAAAACAATGTACAAGCATGACCTGGTGGGAGAAAACACAACTACTATCGAGATGGTCAATAGACAGGAAAGATGGGTTTTACGAAAACCAGACGGAATTAGATAAGATACAAGAAAGGGGACCCGCGATACTCGTGCGGGGGGGGGGGAAAGAGCTCCAGGCAGAGCAGGAGGAAGCAGCAGCAGCAACAGGTAAGCCTCCCCCCCCATCCCCAGACACTGGTAGCGCGGCCTAAGCGGCTGCCAGCCACTGATCCTACGGCGAGGCCCAAGTGGCTTCCAGACGCCAGGCCTCGCCGATCTTCTCCTCCCTCCCCCCCGTTCCTGTGGCGAGGCCTGAGCGGCTTCCAACCGCCAGCCCGCTCAGAGTTCCCAGAGTGTTCCCTGCGCATGCGCAGGGAAGGCTCTTTTACTTTTGGGAGAATTTAAATATCCCCTCTATATTTTTTCTACTTTTTAGATTTTTGTGCACACCTGGGGACGGCCCCAAGTGTGCAGGAAAATGCTCTAGGCTGACCCTGCATTGAGCAGGGGGTTGGATTAGATGGCCTGTAGGGCCCCTCCCGACTCTACGATTCTATCTCTGCTTCTTCTCGCTTTGTGATTACTAACGAGCGTGTTTTTAAGCTTCACTCTTTTTTTTTTTTAATGTTCCGAACTAGGCAGCCAATGGATATTTCCCAGGAATGAACCACCAAAGTTGTACTGCAAAACTCGCACCTTGAGAGCCTTGAGAACGGTGGCCCCTTCGAAGCGCTCGTTGGGGGTGTGAGGCGAGGTCTTCCCTCTGTACCCGTCGCCAGCCAGTATGATGCCCTGAAACAGAAGGAAGGTGGGACAGAGGTGAGTAGGTTGTCAGGGCCTCTCTCTCTCTCTCTCTCTCTCTCTCTCTCTCTCTCTCTCTCTCTCTCTCACACACACACACACACACACACACACACACACACACACACACACATGAATGCACATGAAGCTGCCTTCTACTGAATCAGACCCTTGGGTCAGGGTCCTTAGTCAGGTTACGCAACACAGGGCTTCATGAGAACTGTTTATTGGTAAATCCAGTACTAGAGACACGTGTACCGCTTGTGTCAGGAATGGCCGCCAATACTAGGGCCTCTGACTTATACTAGAATCAAACCTCCCCCCTGTAAGCATGAGCCAATGGATACATCTCGTGCATGGGGGCAAAGCAAAAAGCCGTTAACTTTCCCAGCTGAGTAAAACTGCAGCTGGAGCATCTACAAGGTTAAGCATAAGATAGAAAACAGTTGGTGAGGCAGGGAGAGCTGAGACAGAAAACAGGAGGGGCACCCCTCCACATTCCAGACCTATGACAGGGCTACCTGACATCTTGGTCCATCGAGGTCAGTATCGTCTACTCAGACCGGCAGCGACTCTCCAGGTTCTCAGGTACAGAGGTGTACAGAAATATTGATCTCTAAATGTCTCCTGCATTCTCCTGTTCTGTCTTTTGGTAACAGGCTGTGTCTTATTTCCTGTTACAAGCCAAATGGTAGGCCCTATGGCCTCAGTCGCATGCCATAAACCCACATTCTTCACACTTCCATGCTGGAAGCTAGGCCTACATGCAGAAGCTCACGTAGCCGATGGAGAAGCTGGAGTTGGGGGCCATGTGACTGCAGGCGTGGTTTCCAAACTTCCAGCCTATCCCCACTTGTACCCATGACAACCAAAAAATTGGCAACACACCCTGCTACTCCTGATTGGCTGATGGCCACAGCTAGTCATGATTAGATTGGGGTTTAATTGTCTGGTCCCTTAGGAGAGGGACTCTTTCTGTCCCTTGCTTTTGTTCTGCTCTTGCTTCTGTTGTTGCCTGTTTGTTAAGCACCTGGACATGTGCTCTCTGGAAGAGACAAAGGACTGCTTTGTGCCTTAGAGCACATGGAGGGCAAAGATGGGATTGTTCCTAAAAATCCCTTGGCACCTAACTGGACTGTATCCTGGACACTTTTGGAACATGGACACTGTACTGGTAATTATGCATATCTCTAATGTGTAGTTAAGGCAAACTGTCTTAGGTTTCTTATTTTGTGATCTCTTGGTCTAATTGCAATACTCTGTGCTGAATAAAATATTATTCTTGTTTCTAAATGGTCTTTGATGTTGTAACTGGGATTCCAAGTCTATTTCCTGTGCCTACCTGGCCACATGCTACCATTGAGCATTAAGTGTGCATCTCTGGGAATGAGGTGCTAATGTGTTAAGCCCTAGATGCCAGCTGAGAGATCTGAATCTCTGCTCTGAGCTGGAGGGGATTATAGAATACTGAGAGATTCTGGTGGCTTATTGTTCTGAAATCCAGAGAGGGTAGCCTACCTCTCAGGGTTGTTGTTAATGTATTGAAAAGTATAGGATTCCCCTCTCATCCCTGGACAGGCTTGAGGGGCAGAAATCTATACAAGAGGTCTTTCCCATCCCCTACCACCTGATTCTTTTACCTGGAGATGCCAGGGTTTGAACACCTGAAGCTGCCTTCTACTGGTTTTTTGAATGTAATGTTCCTTTTGTACTACTTGTTTTGGACATATGGAAATGCATAACTATTAGTTATTGTATTGATTGAAAAACTATATATATAAGTCATGATTGTCTACTCAGACCGGCAATGTCTCTCCGGGGTGTCTGCCACATTGCTACTACCTGATCTTTTAACCCAAAGAAACTAAAGTGACCAAATGGAGGCTACTGTACTTTAGTCACATCAAGAGAATACGAGAGTCGCTGGAAAAGACAATCAGGCTAGGAAGGACCGGAGGCAGCCGGAAAAGAGGAAGACCCAACAGGAGATGGACGAACTCCGTCAAGGAAGCCACAAAGGCCCTCCGCTTGCAAAAGCTAAGCCAGGCTGTTCCTGACAAGGACATTTTGGAGGTCGTTAATTTCATAGGGTGGCCATAGGTCGGAAGTGACGTGATGATGGCATATAACACTGTCATAATCTGGGGCTGTGCAAAGAAAGGCCTAGCAGGCCCAGGGAGCCTGAGTAGCAGTGGGAGGAGGCCAGGCCTACAACTCCCAGAAGCCCCTGAGAGGTTCTGGCACCAATTGTAGCCAATCACAGAGAAAGGGGACATAATAAAAGACCTGGTACAGAAGAAGAGCTGGTTCTTTCTTCCAAGAGAGCAGGGCCAGAGGGAAGGCTGCTGCAGGGAAGAGACCCTCACCCCGAGAGGAAGGGTGCGCAGACTCAGGCCCATCTGAGGCAGTGGACTAGGGACTGGGAGTCTAGGCGCATTAGGGGGCATTTGGTTTCTTTTCCCTTCACCCCCTTATTACTATTGTTCTTGCACCTTGTTTCTTTCCCATATTGGGCTGACCCCCCTGCAAAAATAAACCTTTTATTTGTTGTTTACTCTGCCTGGTCCTCACGCCTATTATTTGGCCAAATAAGGGAGGTCTGAAGGCCTTGGGAGGGTGCTCTGGGCCTTCTCAAGGGATCCTAGAACCAGAGTGGTGGCAGCGTCAGGTGACACCCCACCTGAGTCATGACAAACACACACAGAGAGAATCAATGAATGGAATCTAGCAACTGAGAGAACATACGTAGGGACCCATGGAAGCATTATTTTGGGGTGGACATATACATAGCCAGGTACACCCCCCTCCTCAATAGGTGGCCCCCAGTGACTTCAGGGAGATCAAGGCAGGAATTATAGGCGCCAAGAGGCCTCTCAGAGTCTGTGTTCATCTTTACAAAATTCACAGGAGTCGGACTGCCGGCTACTTACACTGGCAATCCGTTGCAACTCCTGGCATTCCTTCTCCGAGATCACGTTGTCCAGCAGCACCCGCTGGGTTCCATTCAGCTGCTCAGAGTTATAGACAAATGTCACATCGCTGTACAGGAGGGGACCCCCTAGAGAGAGAGTGGGGGGAAAAACAGAAGAACCTTTGTAAGGTCTTCCTGGCAGCACCTCACACAGGGACCGTGGATGGATGCCACATCTCCCAGGATGGTTTCAGTGGAGGCAGGCAGTACCTGCACCAGAGTGGCTGGTGTTCCCGATTAGACCACAGGGGGCAGGAAGTGGCACTTGAAAGGAACATGTGCCACTTGACCAGGGTGGGGGGTGGGGAGTTAGGATGTCTCTTGAGAGGCAGAGGCCAAGAGCGGCTGAAGCCAAGAGCAGCTGACATCTTGCAGCTCCAAAAATAACAGCCAACAAAGCAATACTCCGGGCCAGTCCAGAGTTCTGTAAAATGTCTAGTCTATGGGAAGAGCTCCAAGCAGAACACAGGTACTTACAGAGCATCAACTGCATAGGCAATGACTGAAGCAAAGAGGAGGAAAAATAAGAGGTTGTATTCATACCCCGCCCTTCACTTGGAGTCCCATTGTTACTTACAATCTCCTTTCCCTCCCCCTCCCCACAACAGACACCCTATGAGGCAGGTGGGGCTGAGAGAGCTCTTCCGCGAGGACTGCTCTTGAGAGAACAGCTCCAAGAGAACTTGTGACTGACCCCAGGTCACACCAGCAGTGGCATGTGGGGGAGTGGGGAATCAAACCCAGTTCTCCCAGATTAAAGTCCACGCTCCTAACCACTACACCAAACAAGCATGACTGCATGATGCTAAACTTCCATAGAAACTGACCCCAGGTCACACCAGCAGCGGCATGTGGGGGAGTGGGGAATCAAACCCAGTTCTCCCAGATTAAAGTCCACGCTCCTAACCACTACACCAAACAAGCATGACTGCATGATGCTAACCTTCCATAGAAACACACCATTCATCCATCCTAAGCCCAGCATAGGCTGCTGAGATCCTTTTGACAGGAGATACTCTACCAGCCAAGGTGGTGGGTAGCGGGGAGTGCAGTCCAGTTGCAGCCGACTTATGGTATTCCCATAGGACAAAACAGATCAAGATGGGTAGCTGTGTTAGTCTGCCTATAGCAGTAGGAAAGAGCAAGAGTCCAGTGGCACCTTTAAGACTAACACAGTTTTATTCAAGGCATAAGCTTTCGTGTGCAAAGTACACTTCTTCAGAGTTTTGAAGAATCTCCGCAGGGCCTGTAAGACGGAGCTCTTCCACCAGGCTTTCGATTAGGAGCCTCCTTAAACACCGAGGAGTGACCCCGTCCCCGTCTGCCTATAGCAGTAGGAAAGAGCAAGAGTCCAGTGGCACCTTTAAGACTAACACAGTTTTATTCAAGGCATAAGCTTTCGTGTGCAAAGTACACTTCTTCAGAGTTTTGAAGAATCTCCGCAGGGCCTGTAAGACGGAGCTCTTCCACCAGGCTTTCGATTAGGAGCCTCCTTAAACACCGAGGAGTGACCCCGTCCCCTGGCTTGACCACCTTCAGCCTGTCTCGCCGCAGAAGTCAGTCGATGAAACTGAGCCGGTGTGAGAATACCATCAGGACTATCACCTCAGTCGTGGTACGGTTTAATCTCTTGTTTAATACTTCGTTTAATACCTCGTGGGCACTCCATGAAATTGCTGAGCGGTCGGGTTACAACGGATAAAAGGAAGTCCTTCTTCACCCAAAGAATGATTCACACATGGAATTCACTGCCACAGGAGGGGGCGGCGGCTACAAGCATGGACGGCTTCAAGAGGGAATTAGATAAGCATATGCAGCAGAGGTCCATCAGTGGCTATTAGCCGCAAGGTATAGATAGGGACTCTGGGGCAAGGGATGATCTGTCTTCTTGGTGCTTGGGGGCGGGGGTCAACAGTGGGAGGGGCTTCTAGTGTCCTGGCCCCACTGCTGGACCTCCTGATGGCACCTGGTATTTCTGGCCACTGTGTGACACAAGAGTGTTGGACTGGATGGGCCTTTGGCCTGATCCAACATTGGCATCTCTTATGTTCTATGTTCTTAATCTAGGAATCTCTGCTCCGGCACTTTAATTGTTTCTGGCACTTTAGGAAAATGGATAATTAACTGTTTATGGATGTTTTATGGATGTTTTTAAACTGTATTTTCACATATGCATTTTAAGTAAGCTGCCCTGAGTGAACCAATAAATAAATAAATAAATAAATATGAAGTGTGGTGTGCCCATGAAAGCTTATACCTCGAATAAAGCTTTGCTGCTCTTAAAGGTGCCCCACTGGGCCCCAACTTTGTTCTGCTGCTTCGGACCAACACGCCGACCCCACCAGAATCCAACTTCATGCCAAAAAAGTGGAGAACAGACTTGGGAAAGGGTTGAAGACACAGAGGGCCACAGTGCTGGGAGAGGGGGGGTAGGTGGAGGTGGGCTCAACTCTCTGGTCAGAGCAGGGCTGGCGTCAGCATAATCAGGGCTTCTGGTGGGGCCCGCTGCCCCTGGCCAGGTACCCACCCTGCTGCCCGCTTGCCCTCCCCCCACCCACTCGTTCACAAGCCCCCTGCCACCCGTTTTCCCAGCCGTAAGGGCTGCCCAGGAACTCCAGGGAGGATGGCATGTGGCTGGTACAGGCATCTGAGTGCAGATGTGTTACGTATTGGGACTGAATCACCCCTAATTGAATCACCCCAGAGACTGGCTGAGCTTGGAGCACCAGAACAATAGCCGACCAGGATTCTGGAATAAACCAATCAAGGAGTAACGCTTTGTCAAAAGCCTATCACGGGAAGTGGGTGTGTGTGAGGTGTGGTGTTTGCATGCATATAAGCAAGACTCTGGCCCTGCTAGGGTCGTCTTACGAGTTAAGCTGAAATCACTAATAAACTGTGAGCTGATCACTATACGTGTCTCGAACCCAGCATATCTCAAGATGACAAGAGGGTTTGGGAGGGTGTAGAAGGGAAGGGTGTGGAGACATGTGGGTCAGCAGGCAGGAAGGGGGCTGGGGGTAGGCAGAGGAGAGGAGGGCCCCCCCGGCACTCTCTGCCCCCAAATTTAGAGCCAGCCCTGCATCAGAGATTCAGGGACTGCCGTCTTCCCTCTGACATCTCAGAAACCAGAGGGGCCGCGTGCCAAAAAGCTCCTCTTGATATTCTGCAGGGAGCTCATCGAGCGCACTAATGGGCTTTTCTGCAGCCCGGCCAACGTAAACCATCCACAGCTGCATGTTTCCATTATATGCTGAGTTTTGTGAGAGAAAAAGCCTTTCTGGACGCGGACAAGGAACGTTGCGTTGCCTGAAATAACCATCGACATCGCTGAGGGTCACCATAATAGGGTCGCCGGCTCTGGTCAGGGAATACCTGGAGATTTGGGGGGGGGGTGGAGCCAGAGGAGGCAGGCGTTTGGGGAGGGGAGAGTCTCCCTGTGCCTTCCCCGGCCTGTCTAAGGGCCGGCTTGCCCGGGCTTCCCACAGCCGCGGGGTGCCCCGGCAAGCCAAGGGAAGCCATGGGGTGTGGCCTAATATGCTAATCAGCTGCAATGTCAGGGATGTGACCTGATATGCTAATGGGTTTCCGCTGTTGGGTGTGGCCTATTATGCTAATGAGTTCCTGCTGGGCTTTTTCTACCAAAAAAAGCCCTGACGAGCACCAACACATGCACAACATCCGAACTGCTAACAACTGAACAGTTAAGGCCCTCACGTTGAGAGCAAGAAGAACAGCTAATTGTTGGCAGGTCATGCCAGTAAGACATCAGGCTTGGTGATCTTAGTGATCTAGACTGTCAGTAATGGCAGCCACTGTAACTAGCTCAGACCGGTTCTGGCAAGAGCTATATTGCTTGGCAAGATTGAGTCAGCAGAGACTGCTGATTGGCTATTGGATGTATATATTCGTACATATGCTGTATAACTGTTCCCTTCACCTGAATGACTTGTCTGGCGAAGCACTCTGTCGGTGTATACCAGATTAATAAAGAAGAAGAAGAGATTGGATTTATACCCCGCCCTTCACTACCCGAAGGAGTCTCAGAGCGGCTTACAAACTCCTTCCCCTTCCCCTCCCTACAACAGACACCCTGTTAGGTCGGTGGGGCTGAGAGAGCTCTGACAGAAACGGCTCTTTTTCAAGGAAAGTTCTTGTCAGAACTACAGCTTGCCCAAGGTCATCCAGCAGGTGCAAGTGGAAGAAGAAGAAGAAGATTGGATTTATACCCTGCCCTTCACTACCCGAAGGAGTCTCAGAGCGGCTTACAAACTCCTTCCCTTTCCCCTCCCCACAACAGACACCCTGTGAGGTTGGTGGGGCTGAGAGAGCTCTGACAGAAACTGCTCTTTTTCCAGGAAAGTTCTTATCAGAACTACGGCTTGCCCAAGGTCATCCAGCAGGTGCAAGTGGAAGAAGAAGAAGAGGAGATTGGATTTATACCCTGCCCTTCACTACCCGAAGGAATCTCAGAGCGGCTTACAAACTCCTTCCCCTTCCCCTCCCCACAACAGACACCCTGTGAGGTTGGTGGGGCTGAGAGAGCTCTGACAGAAACTGCTCTTTTTCAAGGAAAGTTCTTATCAGAACTACGGCTTGCCCAAGGTCATCCAGCAGGTGCAAGTGGAAGAAGAAGAAGAGGAGATTGGATTTATACCCTGCCCTTCACTACCCGAAGGAGTCTCAGAGCGGCTCACAAACTCCTTCCCCTTCCCCTCCCCACAACAGACACCCTGTGAGGTCGGTGGGGCTGAGAGAGCTCTGACAGAAACTGCTCTTTTTCAAAGACAGCTCTTATCAGAACTATGGCTTGCCCAAGGTCATCCAGCAGGTGCAAGTGGAGGAGTGGGGAATCAAACCCGGTTCACCCAGATTAGAGTCCGTGCTCCTAACCACTACACCAAACTGGCTCTTACTATAAATATGAATATTGTAAATAAACTGTATATAGTTAGCTCTAGACAGTGTGGTCTGTCTTGCTTTCTATTGCGGGCACTTTACCTGTACTGAGCTAAGGCAGCAGAGGTTCCCTGCACAACACTAATGATAGTGGTATGGCCACCGTGTACTATCTACTATCTAACATGCCGCCACCTAACATGCCGCCGTCTACATGCAACAGCACTTTGTCTTACAAATCTGTTTGTTTGTCTGAATTTCAGATGATCGCTCTGTGGATGCATCTACGTTTTATTGTATTTATCCTGTTGCATTTCAACTTGTTCTAAGCTGCCCCTGAGCCTGCCCATGTGGGGAGGGCGGAATATAAATCCAAAATATAAATATAAATAAAACCTCCAATCGTGGTAGACAACAACTGGCCAGCATGGGGAAGAAGCCCAGGGGTGTGTTTTCCCAACTGGCGTGGGCCTGCCTTTGGAGTTCAGGTGGGGGGATCTCCACGTGCAGCCCAGTGAACCAGCCACGTGCCGCAAAAAACACTGTGAGCGTGATGCCCCTTCTCTCTTTCGTACTAGTCCGGATCGAGGCTGCTGCGTTTTTCTCAGGCCGATCAGGAGGAACGGTTGCCGTCCCCCGGACAGCGACAAAAATACATCTGATGGAGCCCACAGTCAGGCCTTTGGAAACGCTCGGCCTCCAGTCGCAAAGCAAACCAGATGGGAAGGATGCAGAGTGGCTTTAAATCATGGGAAACTGAGCTCCCCTTGCAGAGTTGTGAGGGGGAAGAAGGGGGGGGGATGGCATCTGGAACTTGCGGCTCTCTGGAACCTTTCCGGGGAAATCGCTTTGGCTTTCCTTGTCGACCGCAGCACGATTTCTGCCTGAAGTCAGCAGAAGACGGAATCCTCGTCCCAGTCACCAGTTCTACCTGCAATGAAGTGTTCTGTTTCCTGGTAGCTGTGGGGGGGGCATGAGTGGGAAGCCCCCTTCAAAACTATTCCGTTGCTTCTACAACTGACTCCGTAGAAACCCACAAAAGTTCAAGAACAGCAGGATTCGCCAGGGGCCATCAGGAGGTCCCCCGGTGGGGCCAGAACTTCAGGAGCCCTCCCTTGGTTGCCCCCCAAGCACCAAGAATGCCGAGCATCACTGCCACAGACATAAGAGAAACCATGATGGATCAGGCCAGCGGCCCCTCCAGTCCAACACTCTGTGTCACACAGTGGCTAAAACCCAGGGGCCATCAGGAGGTCCAACAGTGGGGCCAGAACTTCAAGAGTCCTCCCTTGGTTGCCCCCCAAGCACCAAGAATGCTGAGCATCACTGCCACAGACATAAGAGAAACCATGATGGATCAGGCCAGCGGCCCCTCCAGTCCAACACTCTGTGTCACACAGTGGCTAAAACCCAGGGGCCATCAGGAGGTCCAACAGTGGGGCCAGAACTTCAAGAGTCCTCCCTTGGTTGCCCCCCAAGCACCAAGAATGCTGAGCATCACTGCCACAGACATAAGAGAAACCATGATGGATCAGGCCAGCGGCCCCTCCAGTCCAACACTCTGTGTCACACAGTGGCTAAAACCCAGGGGCCATCAGGAGGTCCAACAGTGGGGCCAGAACTTCAAGAGTCCTCCCTTGGTTGCCCCCCAAGCACCAAGAATGCTGAGCATCACTGCCACAGACATAAGAGAAACCATGATGGATCAGGCCAGCGGCCCCTCCAGTCCAACACTCTGTGTCACACAGTGGCTAAAACCCAGGGGCCATCAGGAGGTCCAACAGTGGGGCCAGAACTTCAAGAGTCCTCCCTTGGTTGCCCCCCAAGCACCAAGAATGCTGAGCATCACTGCCACAGACATAAGAGAAACCATGATGGATCAGGCCAGCGGCCCCTCCAGTCCAACACTCTGTGTCACACAGTGGCTAAAACCCAGGGGCCATCAGGAGGTCCAACAGTGGGGCCAGAACTTCAAGAGTCCTCCCTTGGTTGCCCCCCAAGCACCAAGAATGCTGAGCATCACTGCCACAGACATAAGAGAAACCATGATGGATCAGACCAGCGGCCCCTCCAGTCCAACACTCTGTGTCCACAGTGGCCAAAACCCAGGGCCCATCAGGAGGTCCACCAGCGGGGCCAAAACTCCAGCATCTCCACATTCAGTCCACTGTGTGAGACAGGATGCTGGACTAGACAGACCACTGGTCTGATCCACAGGGCTCCAGATGCTGGAGACAACCAGTCATGGAGGGCTGGCTTCCTAGAAGCACGTGGCTGGTCCATGTGGGAAATGGGATGTTGGACTTGGTAGTCTTTTGGTCTGATCCAGCAGGGCCCTTCTGCTAGTTCTACTTGGAAAGGTACAGGTGCCCAGCATGGAATTACCCTGAATGCTTTTCTTCATGGTGTTTCTATTTATTTCACTTCTACCCCACCTTTTTACCCAAAGGGGGCCCAAAGTGGCTGATGTCATTCTCCCCTCCTCCATTTTATCCTCACAACAACCCTGTGAGGTAGGTTAGGCTGAGAGTGTGACTGGCCCAAGGTCACCCAGCGAGCTTCCAGGGAAGAGTGGGGATTCGAACCCAGGTCAAATCTAATACCCTAACCATTACATCACAGAGGTACTGCTATGCTTACTCTTGTGGCTTTAAGAATTTTTTGCATGCAAAATGTCTGGGCACAGAACCCGCTCACGGGTGGAATCTTGTGCTTTGGCTGCAGCCTGGCCAATCTTCTTCTTCTTTTTAAATTATCTTTGTAACGTGCGAACAATAAGGGGGGGGGAGTAATATTTCTTTTAACTATTTTGAACAATCTGACCCATGTCTTGGTGAAAGTGGGATTTGTCTGCAAATCTGCAGGCTTCTCTGCAATTTGCACAGATTTAAATAATCTTCTGATATGCCTGAACATCAGGTCTACAGTGTACTTCTCAGTACTATATTTGGAGAAGTTGGAGGAGTTTCTATGAACCCATGTGGAAGAAGAAGAAAAAGACGTTCCGCAGGGCCTGCGAGACGGAGCTCTTCCGCCAGGCTTTCAGCTAGGGAGCCACCACCATTATAGAGCCCTGGCCCTTGGTTCCGACACCTAGCCTGTGCCGCAGGAAGATCAGGAGCAGAATGACACCTAGACCTCTGAAAGTACACCATGAGAGTCAGACATCTGGAATAACTAAATCACCATCGCCAGCATTTTATTAATTTGTATTGGCTATATGTTTTGTACTAGCTATAAGGGAATTGTTTTTAGATGATACTACGTCTTTTAATTGTATTTATGATTTGATTGTTAGCCGCCCTGAGCCCACAAATGAGCGGGATACAAATGAGATTAATAAATAAATAGAAGAAGAAGAGAAGGAGGAGGAGGAGGAAGAGATTGGATTTATACCCCATGGCCCTTCACTCGGAGTCTCAGAGTGGCTTACAAACTCCTTCCCTTCCCCTCCCCACAACAGACACCCTGTGAGGTAGGCGGGGCTGAGAGAGCTCTGAGAGAAACTGCTCCTGAGAGAACAGCTCTGACAGAACTACGGCTTGCCCAAGGTCATCCAGCAGGTGCCAGTGGAGGAGTGGGGAATCAAACCCGGTTCTCCCAGATTAGAATCTGCGCACTTAGCCACTACACCAAACTGGGAAGGAATTATCAATTTAGTTATCAAAGATGAAGGAAGGGGTTAGAGCCTGACCCAATTCCCAAAATCTTACCTCTGAAGTCTGTTTTCAATGTCCAGGCAAACCTTTGGAACATGTTAAAGAAAAGGGCGGTGGGCTTCTGAGCATGCGCAAAGTGCCTGTCCACCACCACCACCACCGTGGAGCCACAGCCTGCCCACCTACCCACACGGTGGTGTGGATTCAGGAAGGGATGGGGGGGCAAAGCACCCGGACAGGGTTCAGGAGGAGTTCAGAAATTCTACCCTTTTAGAAATTAGTCAGCAAGGATGGGGGCAGGCTCTTCCTGATCTTCTGGGCGCCTGGATACGATGAATTGCCTGTGACCAGAATCTTACCTTCTCTCAGCTCCCGGTCCCCTTTGCACATGCTCTTCTTCCCTTGGTGCTGCCCCGTGCCGTCCGCTTGGTCGCCGTGGGCACCGGAAGGTATCCTGTGGAGCAGAAGTGATGAGGAAAATGTGTGTGTGTGGGGGAGAGATTCATCATAGAATCAATGTGGCCTTAGTTAGGGTTTAATGTGACTAGCACCCCATATGTAAACCGCCCAGAGACCCCCACGGGGGTTAGGGCGGTATATCAAATCGAAGTAATAAATAAATAAATAAATAAATAAATCATCCAGTCTGGCTCTCGTGTTTGTTCCCCGCCTCGCCCCATTCAGAAGGGAGGTGCATTCTAACCAGAGAGAGGGTCTTTTCAGTGGTGGCCCCCGGGGTCAAAGAAGCCCTCCCCCCACGAGCCATTATGGTCATAAGCACTAAGACATCTGTTGCTTGTTCTTGCAGGCTTTATAACACCATCTGGATGCCGCAGTGGTTTTTGCAGACTCACTTGCTGTCCTTGAAGACCACCTGGAAACCACAGCCGGTCCAGGCGGGGAATGAGGGGGGGCTTACCAGGAGCGGGAGGCAGGCCCAGGCGACGTCACTGTCAATGTGGCGGTGTACAACGGACGTGATGTCATCATGCCGTGACAGTAGTTATTCCTGTTTCCTCCCTCCTTTTTGTATTTCATTTAAAACTAATAAAAATTATTTTTTTTAAAAAAAATTCCTACTGTGACATTGAGGTAATGCTCTGGTATTTGGGCCAAAACGCAATGATAAAAATGGCTTCTACCATAGAGTTTTTGCTCAAATACCAGAGTGCTGCTCGGATGTCGCTGGTGTGATGACATCACTTCCTGTACGTACTGGAAGTGGCTTTGCCAAGTCGCCAGCGACCTTGCCTTCCACTTTCTCCTGGTGAGTCCCCCCATCGGCCCGCTAATCAGCAGTGGGGGGCAGGGCCTGGCGATGGGGGACCCCCACCTCCATGGGGGGGGGGCTGGTAGCCCTCGTCCGGAACATGGCCGCCCAACTGTTCTCAGAGGTTGCCTGCTGGAATAATCTGCAAACTCATTTGCTATGAGGGCCGGATGTGACATATATGCCACTTTATTGGGCCGGGCCATGGGTGCGTTCAGACGAGCCGTTTAGTCCGCTTTCGGCCCGCCTCAGAAACGGATTTTATCTGCGCGATCACACGGTCAACATCTGCCTCCCGTCCCCAGCCGTCGCTTTCCGGCTCAAAACCGCTTCAACCCGGAGTGTTTCGATACCAGGTCCCCAAGTGGTGCTTTCCTGATTCTCCGGTTCCAGCCGCATTTTCCCCGTGTGATCGCGCCTCTGGTGTTGAGCCACTTCCGGTTTACACCCTCTCCCCGCTCGAAAGCTGCCCGAGGCTTCTGCTTTTCGCCCGCCATTTTAAAAAAAGCGTTGCTGGTGTACGCATAGGCGGAGGACCACCACAGGGTTATTAAAACCAATGTTTAAATGGTGCCTAGTTTTAGCCTTTAGACGAGTTCGGGATGTCACGGAGAATACCGAACCCAATGAGAGGGCAAATGGGACACCCCTTTCTCAGTGACACGTGACCCTCCTTCCCCCCCACCACCTGAAAGGGTGAGGACTGGCCCCAGCACTTTCAATGCAAATCACCAGATTGAGCGGCTACAATTTGGGCTGGAGGGGAAAGGGGGCTTTACCCCCATCGATCTTTATTTGGTTTTGCTACTTGGAACAGGCTTCTTTTCTTTGTGGTCAGCATTTTGAGGGGGGGGGCATTTTTTAAAGGACAAGATTTCCCCTCTTTTTTAAATCCACATAATTTATATACATATATTATTAACAGATAAGTCATGTTTGAGAAGGTAATTAAATTCATTCCTTGCGCTGCAGGGAAACTTTCCATATGTTCGATAGCACAATGAATGTATCAAGGTCTTTGCCATTGAACCAATCCTCGCAAACTTACAAAGCAGAACTCCATTTTCTTTCTTTCTTTCTTTCTTTCTTTCTTTCTTTCTTTCTTTCTTTCTTTCTTTCTTTCTTTCTTTCTTTCTCTCTTTCTTTCTCTCTTTCTTTCTTTCTCTCTTTCTTTCTCTCTCTCTCTCTCTCTCTCTTTCTCTCTCTCTCTCTCTACTACCCCTCCCCTTTTAAAATACTAGTAGCTCCGCAGAGAAAGAGAGTGAAGGTTGAAGGGTTAATCCTCTCTTTTCTCCACGCAGAACTGAGACAAACTGAGGCACTGGAACCTGCCACTGGAACCTGCCACCAGTTTGGTGTTGTGGTTAAGTACGTGGACTCTAATCTGGGAGAACTGGGTTTGATTCCCCACTCCTCCACTTGCACCTGGCTGGATGTCCTTGAAAAAGAGCCGTTTCTGTCAGAGCTCTCTCAGCCCCACCTGCCTCCCAGGGTGTCTGTCAGTTGTGGGGAGGGGAAGGGAAAGGAGTTTGTCAGCCGCTCTGAGACTCCTCTGGGTAGTGAAGGGCAGGGTATAAATCCAATCTCTTCTTCTTCTTCTATTTGGCAGGAGGTTGGGGGTCCAGGATGCCATTAGGGTCTGAGCCCTCAATTTCTCCCTGATTATGCACTTCTGTAATGCCTGGTTTTGACTGCGGTGTGTCCATGTGAAGTGCCATCCAGCTGCTTCCAACGTACGGCGACCCTATCCAAAACGTCCAATCGTTGGCTGCCTCGCTCAGGTCTTGCAAACCTGTGTCTTGACGGCAGAGCAGCCCGAAATGCTTCTGCTTCTGGGTTTCTATTATTTTTTTCCAGGCTACGTTCAGACTTCTGGACAGCTACGGATGGCTGCAATCTGAACCCCCTGGGCTTTCTCTTTTTTCTTTTCCCCCTTTGCATCTGTGCCCTTGATTAAAGCCCTGCACGAAGAGGAACCCTGATGCATCAAAACTCAGCTTTCCCCTGTGATTTAAAATGTGCCAATCGCAAAACTGATTTTAGAAATGCTCTGAGCTGAACCAGAAAGCCGGCAGAACAGAGCAATGTGCAGCCTTTAAGCAGCGGCTGGACACACACTTGTCAGGGATGCTCTAGGCCAGGGGTGTCCAACATGCGGCCCGGGGGCCGGTTCAGGCCCCCGGAGGGCTTCTATCAGGCCCCCAGAGTGGAACTGGCTGTCTTCTGCTTCTTCTTCCAGTTCTGCTGCTGCTGCGTCATCGTAGGTTTGCAGCTCACAGATACACACCTGGAACTGCATACTCAAGATTGCAACAGCACAGACATTTTGATACAACAATTCAGAGCAAGAGGTGTCAGTTACCAGACACTGTCAAATAAACAAAATATTGCAAGAGCGCTAATGTTCTAAGCAGGGGTCATTTCCTGCGGGAGCGCACAGGAGCGGAGCTCCGGCAGTAAGGAGCCCAGGGGGCGGGAACATACAACAAGCCCCACCCCCTGCTCCCAGCAGCCCTCAGTCGGGCCATGAGGAGCAAGAAGCAGCCAGGTAAGTTGCAGAGCCCCCCCCTCCCCGGCTCGCCTTTCGGTACAAATCCTCTGCAAGGGCAGATCTGCACGTTCCCCCCCGCAATAGCTAGCAATCCAAAACAGTCCAGTGGAGCCTGAGCGGTGGGTGTTGCCTTCTGACACACTTCCGGTGATGTCAGGGGGTGTGGCATATGCAAATGAGTTATCCTAATGAATTATGCTAATGAGCTCCTGCACCTCTTTTTCTACAAAATGACCCCTGGTTCTAAGCATGTTTTTTATTCTAAGTAAAAAACAAAACCCTTTGTGTCTGTGTCCTTTATAAAGTTTATATCTCCGCTACCGGGCATTACATTTTATGACACACGTGGCCCGGCCTAACAAAGTCTCATTTATGTCAGATCCACCCCTCATAACAATTGAGTTTGACACCCCTGCTCTAGGCTGATCCTGCATTGAGCAGGGGGTGAGACTAGATTTATTATTTATTAATTATTTATTTAATTTATATCCCGCCCTCCCCGTGAAGGCAGGCTCAGCGTGGCTTACGGTCATATATAAAAATACATTGTACAAATATTAAAACAGATAAAACAGCTAAAAACACAAGAAAGTGCAAAGTGCTGGCAGTGCAGTAAACAATAAACAATGGCGGCCTTCTTTCAGCATCCAGCTGTCACGATCGCCCTATTCCAGGTTCCTTGCCAGGCTATCAGGTATTACTTTAGTGCTGGTGTTACTTCGGTGCTGATGTTAAGGCTGGGGCCACAATGTTACCGGAGGCCCCTTAATGAAAAGCCTGGCGGAAGAGCTCCGTTTTACAGGCCCTGCGGAACCGCAAAAGGTCCCGCAGGCCCCTGATGTCCTCCGGGGGCTCATTCCACCAGTGCGGGGCCGCCACAGAGAAGGCCCTGGCCCTCGTCACAGCTAGCCTGGCTTCTTTAGGGCCTGGAAGGGCCGGACGGTGTTGGGATCCAGATCTTAGTGCTCTCTGGGGAACATGTGGGGAAAGGCGGTCCCCTCAGGTAAGATGGCCAGTATGGCCCCTTACAGCGCTGTGTGGTTCTATGATTCTACCCTGGGCGTCCCTTTTAAAACCTCGCTCTCATCGAGTGAAAGAACACCTGAACAGAGCCTTTATCTCAAGAGGGGGCCTTGGAGGTGGCGGCTTACCTGTGTTCATCCTGCCGAGAGCCAGAGATGCTCCAATAGCTCTGCAATGAGAAGAGAACGGCCTCCTCAAGACTCTCCACTCCAGAGGTTCACGCCCCACCCACCGCCCGGCAGTTGCGCGTTCTTACCGGCTCGGTATAGGAGAATCCCAAGCCAGCCGCTGCTGTCTGCAACAGGTGCGCTTCCAGCTTATGTCGCCTCAGGAACATCACAGCGTACTGGAAGAGCCAGAAGGATTTAAAGATATGCTGATCGGGAAAAGATTCACAGGCGCTCACCACCATCAAGCGGAACATGAGCATTACGCACAGGTTCTCGAACATCCCCAGCCATAACATGAATGCATGAGTTCTCACAAATGGACAAAAGGAAATGATTATTTACATGGCATCTGATTAAAATGTGGAATTTGCTGCCAGAGGATTTAGTGATGGGCACAGGGATGGACGGTTTTCAAAAGGGATTAGACAGATTCATGAGGAGAGGTCTATCAGTGGCTAGTAGACATGGTGACTGAGGGGAACTTCCACATTCAGAGGAAGTCAGTGCCAGGGGCAATGTCAGGAAAGGCCTCGGCCTCTGTAACCTGCTTGTTGGACCTCTAGAGGAACTGGTTGGCCACTGTGCGAGGCAGGAAGCTGGACTAGATGGACCCTAACTAGTCTGATCCAGCAGGGCTCTTCTGATGTTCTTATGCAGGCCTCGGCCTCTATCTCCAGTTGTTGGTTGTCCAGAGGAACTGGTTGGGCACTGTGTGAGAAAAGATGCTGGACTAGATAGACCACTGGCCAGATCTAGCAGGGCTCTTCTGAGGTTCTTATGAAGGCCTCTGTGCCCTGTTGTTGGCCCTCCAGGGGAACTCATTGGCCATTGCGTGAGACAGGATGCTGGACTAGATGGACCACTGGTCTGATCCAGCAGGGCTCATGTTCTTCTGAAGGCCTCGACCTCTGTGCCCTGTTGTTGGCCCTACAGGGGAACTATTTGGCCACTGTGTGAGACAGGACGCTGGACTAGATGGACCACTGGTCTGATCCAGCAGGGCTCCTCTTATATTCTTAGGAAGGCCTCGGGCTCTATGCCCTGTTGTAGACCCTCCAGAGGAACTGGCTGGCCCCTGTGTGAGATGGGATGCTGTCTAGATGGACCACTGGTTTGATTCAGCAAGGCTCCTCTTATGTTCTTATGCCCTGTTGTTGGCTCTATGCCCTGTTGTTGGCCCTCCAGAGGAACTGGTTGGCCACTGTGTGAGACAGGATGCTGGACTGGATGGACCCCTGGACTGATCCAGCAGGGCTGTTCTGATGTTCTTATGCCAAGCAGGTGGTCTGCCACTGAGCCATGACCCATTCCTAGAAAAGGTTGCCTTCTACTGAACCAAACCATTGGTCCACCAAGGTCACTAATTTGTCTACTCAAATGGGCAGCAGCTCTCCAGGGTCTCAGACTGAGGTCTTTCTAAAAACATCCGGTTCGTGACGGGACGTGGATGCCACGGGATACTAGCGCTCCCGCGATCAGACGCCTGCCTGTGCCGCGCGTTTTCTGGATACTAGTGCACTTTCCTTGGTACTTTTTAACTCCGCATTTTTGGCGGGATGCCACGGGTTGGCCACGGGTGCGCCACGCTTCCCAGATGTTGCTGTGTGATCATGCCCTGAAAATTCACCCGACATTCGTGCTTTTCGCGCAGCAAATTCTCCGTGTGACAGGGGCCATGGAGTGGCGGCAAAAGAGATTGCTGCTGGTCCCTCAGCAGCAAAAGCATGATACATTCATGTCCCCACGGTGAAAGACTCGTTTCATAGATCGGCTCCTTACCTCTCTGGGCTTGATGCTTGAGAGATCCACCAGCCCTTCCAAGAGGCTTCCGTAGTAGCTCTCATTGTCTAAGACGTCTTCATCATCTGGATGGAAGAGGAGGTACGACCTGGCACACTCCAGGGCTTGCATGTAATCACCAACTGAAAGAGGGATTGGGGGACAGTTGCTACGGGCTGGAAATTTCATGCACCATTTTCTGCATCCTAGCCTGCGCACCGAGGACTGTGGCTCAGTGGCACGCAGAAGGTCCCAGGTTCAATCCCCAGCATCTCCAGTTAAAAGGGCCAGGCAGGAGGTGATGGGAAAGACCTCTGCTTGAGACCCTGGAGAACTGTCAAGAGGGGCTGTGGCTCAGTGGTAGAGCATCTGCCTGGCATGCAGAAGGTCCCAGGTTCAATTCCCGGCATCTCCAGTTAAAAAGGACCAGGCAGGAGGTGATGAAAAAAACCTGCGCCTGAGACCCTGGAGAGCTGTCAAGAGGGGCTGTGGCTCAGTGGAAGAGCCTCTGCTTGGCACGCAAAAAGTTCCAGGTCCAATCCCCGGCATCTCCAGTTAAAGGGATCAGATAGGAGGTGATGGGAAAGACCTCCACCTGAGACCCTGGAGAGCTGGGGACCAGGCCGTAGCTGATGTGAAAGACCTCAGTAGCTCAGTGGAATGCTTGGTATGTGGAAGATCCCAGGTTCAATCCCTGGCATCTCCAGTTAAAAAGGACCAGGGAGTAGGTGATGTGGAAGCAGGGGTCATTTCCTGCAGGAGCGCACAGGAGTGGAGCTCCGGCAGTAAAGAGCCTAGGGGGCGGGCACATGCAACAAGCCCCGCCCCCTGCTCCCAGCAGCCCTCAGTCAGAGCAAGAAGCAGCCAGGTAAGCTGCAGAGTCTCCCCCTGGTCCAAAACATTCCAGTGGCCCCATGTTTTATTCAGGTATTAAGACCATGTTTTATTCAGGTACAAGTTCTCCCTCCTCTGTGAGGACAGATCTGCACGTCCCCCCCACCCCCCTTCTGACACACTTCCGGTGACGTCAGGGGGAGTGGCATATGCAAATAAGTTATGCTAAGGAGTTATGCTAATGAGCTCCTGCACCTATTTTTCTACGAAATGACCCCTGTGTGGAAGACTCTTCTCTGCCTGAGACTCTGGTGAGCTGCTGCCAGTCTGAGTTGGCAAAACTGACATTGATCCATTGATGGCCTGATTCAGTCTAAGGCAACTTCATGTATTCTCATGTATGTACGCATGCCCTGTCATGGTGTGATGTCACTTCCGGGGTGGTACTGGAAGCGAGGTCGTGCCACCATACTGACTTCTGCCCCCTCCTCCCGCCCTACTGTGAGCCTGCCAATGGGAAACGTTTTGCCAAAATGGCAGCCTTAGCCATGTGGGTGGGGCAGCCATTTTTCATCAGGCGGTTCTCATGGTGGCCATTTTCTCCTTTTTTTAGTTGTTGTTTTTTGTTTTGCTTTATTTTTTTAAAATGGGTAATTGGCTGGGAAAGATTGAAGGTCAAAGAAGACGGGGACGGCAAAGGATGAGATGGTTAGACAGTGTCATAGATGCAACGAACATGAAATTGAGCCAACTTCAGAGGACGGCGGAAGACAGGAGGGCCTGGTGGGATCTGGTCGATGGGGTCGCGAAGAGTCGGACTCGACTGTGCGACTGAACAACAAAAATCACAGTCTATGCCAGAGGTGTCAAACATAAGGCCTTGGGGGCCAGAACTGGCTCATCCAGGGCTCTTACCCGGCCTGCAAGCGACTGGTAGGTATGGAAATGTAAGGTTCTCCCCCTTTCATGGTATCCCTTGGGGAAAAAAACCTAGTCTTGCATATGATTAAATACATATATTAGGTCAGTTTCCCCAGTAAATCAGTTGCTTTCACTGCCAGAAATCAATGGCTTTTGTTCGTATTTTGTGGAAAAAATAATATTGTTAATTGGGTTTGCCTGGAGCTGCGGTGGCTCAAGTCGTTAAGACGCTGAACTGCAGGCTGTGGAAGGTCGGTAGTTCGGCAGTTCGAGACCCGAGTGTGCTGCATGACGGAGTGAGCTCCCGTCTCTAGTTCCAGCTCCTGCCAACCTAGCCGTTCGAAAGCAAGAAATTGCAAGTAGATAAATAGGTACCACTTCGGTGGGAAGGTCACAGCGTTCCGTGCGCCTTGGCGTTTAGTCATGCCGGTCACATGACCATGGAAACATCTTCGGACAGCGCTGGCTCTTCGGCTTTGAAACGGAGATGAGCACCGCAACCCTAGAGTCGGATTTGACTAGCTTTCAAGCAAGGGAACCTTTACCTTTACCTGGGTCCTTTATAGAATTTATATCTCCAGTACCTGGGATTACACTTTATGGCACATCTGGCTTGGCCATTTGTGTCAGAACCGGCCCTCATAACAAATGAGTTTGACAACTATGTTTTCTGAATTCCCAGTTTTCTTTCTTTCTTTAAGTAAATCTCTATCCCCTTTCACTGCAGAGATATAAGGAGGAAGGCCTCCCTCTCCAACAAAAGAGACTTCCTCGTTTTTTAAAAAACTAAAAGTTGAGAAATCAGAGAAGCTGCTGCACAGATGGTTAGAGCATAACGTCATTGTACCTATTCGGCCGCCTCCACATGCAGACTTGAGACAACCCAACTTTAAAACCATAGCAATTATTTAAAGAAACGTTAAAGCAGTCCACATGCAGGCCACAAAAGTTCCCCAGTTCTGTCAATCTGTCAGCGCCTCCCATGCAAAACACAACTTAAGCACTCTTAAAATCCTTCTGCCCTCTGTTTTCCAAAGTTGTGCAAACAACATTCTCGCAGTTGTTATTAAGTACCAAAGTAAAGTCTTTTTAGTCGTGTTCACTTCATCTATTTTCAAACCCAAAAGCAGAATTTCGGGTGCTTTTTTAAAAGAGCATTTCAATATTTTTTGCATTTCATTGTGGACTTTTGTCCAAAAGTCTACAGCTTTTTCACAAGTCCACCACATATGATAAAATGAGCCCTCATGACTCTTGCATTTCCAACATTTGTTTGACATATTCTGGTTCATATTTGCAATTTTCTTCGGAGTCATGTACCACCTGTACATCATTTTAAAACAGTTCTCTCTGACATTGGTAAAAGCCGATATCTTAATAGAGTTTTTCCACAAATATTCCCAAGTTTCAATAGTCACCTCCCTATTCATATTTATTGCCCACTTTATCATTTGCTCTTTAACTATTTCATCTTCAGTATACCATTTCAACAACAGTTTATACATTTTAGAGATATTTTTTCCCTCTCCACTTCCCCAAATATTTTCCATTTCATTTTTTTCTTCTCTAAAACCATAATTTCTCTTATCCGATCTAAAAAGATCATAAATCTGCATATATTTCAACCATTCATATTCATACTGAATTTCATTCTGCTTTTTCATTACCCATTCTGTTCCCTCTTTTTTAATTAAGTCTCTGTATGGCAACCAATCCTTGTCTCGCTGTCTTGAGTACGATGTTAGTACTTCTACTGGCACAATCCACAATGGTCTTACATCCCTAAAATATTTTTTATATCTTGTCCATACCACAAACAATGCTTTTCTTACCAAGTGAAGTTTAAAAAAGCTATCCATTTTTATCTTATCATACCATAAATATGCATGCCAACCAAACCTACAATCATGTCCCTCCAACCCCAATAGTTTATCATTCTCAAGCTTCACCCATTGTTCCAAATGGAAAATTGGAAATGGTTAAATGTAAAACTTGTATGGAAAATAATAAAATTTGTTTACAAAAAAAAAAAATCCTTCTGCCCTACGTAACTTCCTGGCCTACGTAACCTTCTGCCCTACGTAACATTCCTGACCAACCCAGGGACTCGCATAACAATGCATGCTTGTGTTTTCACAAGTATGCTTCTAAAAAGAAACGAAAATCCAGCACGATGGTTGTCTTCATGTGGCTATGCCAAGAGTGTGTGACTGGCCCAAGGTCACCCTGCAAGCTTCTATGGTACCAGTGGGGATTTGAACCCCGGTCTCCCACACTGGCTTGCTGAGGGACCTTGTTTTTTCTTGTTGTTCAGTTGCACAGTCGAATCTGATTTTTCGCGACCCCATGGACCAGCTCCCGCCAGGCCTTCCTGTCTTCCATCGTGCTCCGGAGTTGGCTTAATTTCATGTTCGTTGCATCTATGACACTGTCTAACCATCTCATCCTTTGCCGTCCCCTTGACCTTCAATCTTTCCCAGCATCAGGGTCTTCTCCAGCGAGTGCTCCCTTCTCATTTGGTGGCCAAAGTATTTGAGCTTCAGTTTCATTATCTGGCCTTCCAGGGAACAGTCAGGGCTGATTTCTTCTAGGATTGACTGATTTGATTTCCTGGCAGTCCAAGGGACTCTCAAGGGTCTTCTCCAGCACCATAGTTCAAAAGAATCTATTCTTCGGCGCTCGGCCTTCCGTCAAATACAAACAAGTGGTCTGGATTCCCAAGCAGAAAATGTTCACAGCCTGGAACTCACCGTGCATGCATTGCCTGGACAACTGAGATGGGCTGAAGGAACCAACCTAATTCCCTACAGCAGCACAGCACAGATATTCTCTTATGCTCCATGGAGATAGATCAAGATGGGTAGCCATGTTAGTCTGTCTGGAGCAGTAGAAAAAAGCAAGAGTCCAGTAGCATAATAAAGTTTCCCTTGCTCGAAAGCCAGTCGAATCCGACTCTAGGGTTGCGGTGCTCATCTCCATTTCGAAGCCGAAGAGCCAGCGCTGTCCGAAGACGTTTTCGTGGTCATGTGGCCGGCGTGACTAAACGCTAAAGTTGCACGGAACAAGGCTAACAAAATTTGCGGCAGGGGAGAAGCTTCTGTGAATCACTGAGAACTCATAACCTGCCACGAACTTTGTTTGACAAGTGACTCACGAAAGCTCCTACCCTGCCACAAATTTTGTTAGTCTTTAAGGTGCTTACTGGACTCTGGCTCTTTTCTTATGCTTATAGAATCATAGAATGTTAGAGTTGGAAGGGACCCTGCTGGTCATCTAGTCCAACCCCCTGCACTCTGCAGGAGCAGAGCCGAAAGATAGCCCTACAACATACTCGAAAGATGGTTGTCCAGCCTCCGCTTGGAAACATCCAGTGAAGGAGCATCCACTACCTCTCGAGGCAGTCTGTTCCACCGCTCAACCACTCTTACAGTCAGGAAGTCTCTCCTGATATTTAGCCGGTATCAACTCCCTTGTCATTTACGTGAAGACTGCAATCGTGTCCCCTCTAAGCCTTCTCTTTCTCAGGCTAAACAGACCCAACTCTTTCAGCCTTTCCTCGTAACACTTGAATTCCAACCCTCTGACCATCCTGGTTGCCCTCTTCTGGACACGCTCGAGCTTGTCAACATCCTTCCTAAAATGTGGTGCCCAAAACTGGACGTAGGACTCCAGGTGAGGCCTGACCAGAGCAGAATAGAGCGGAACTACTGCCTCCCGTGATCTGGACACAAGGCTTCTGTTAATGCATCAGTGATTGCAGAGGTGGGTCTTGTCCTGTAGGGGGCACCCCTACCCAAGTTCAGCCACTACCTTGTCTTCTAGCTATGGCTCCGAGCTACTATTTTTATTTCATTTATATATATACTGCTTTTAAAAAATGAAATAAAGTTCAATATGAATATATCAGCATAAGAATAGCAAGTTCTTTTTAAAGAACAAAATGAAATTTGATCTGAGTTCTTTTCTCCCGGGGGGGGGGAAGCTTCGCTGCAACCCAGCTGTGCCAATTTTTGTGCCTGAAAACTAAAGGGGAGGGCGGCATCTGTTGTTTGAATGTGCATCTGGATATATCTCCAGATGGGCCCCTCTGTCCTCTGCCTGCTTGCTAGTTTACACGAGACCTGCGACGTACATCCTGTTCTGGCTCACCTTTCCCCCAAAACGAGACCTGCTATGAAGTTTCTGTTGGTAGCCTTGGAGCAGAAAAATCCAACACTTTTCACATACATACTAACAAAAAGCCAGTCGCTAGCTTTTTATTGACCTTACAGGTAAAAAAAAATAGTTGTAATCATTCTGTGTTGGTGGGGCCTTGGCTCAATAGCAGAGCCTCTGCTTGGTCCCAGGTTCAATCCCCGGCATCTCCAGTTTAAAAGGACCAGGCAGTAGGTTTTGGGAAAGACCCCTGCCTGAGACCCTGGAGAGCTGCTGCCAGTCTGAGTAGATAAAACTGATTTTGGGAGGGGCTGTGGCTCAGTGGTAGAACATCTGCTTTGCATGCAGGAGGTCCCAGGTTCAATCCCCGGCATCTCCAGTTAAAAGAACCAGGCAGGAGGTGATGGGAAAGACCTCAGCCTGAGATCCTGGAGAGCTGTGAAGAGGGGCTGTGGCTCAGTGGAAGAGCCTCTGCCTGGCATGCAGGAGGTCCCAGGTTCAATCCCCAGCATCTCCAGTTAAAAGGACCAGGCAGGAGGTGATGTGAAAGACCTCCAACTGAGATCCTGGACGGGCCACTGCCAGTCATGGCACACAGTGGCCGTCAGGAGGTCCACCAGCAGGGCCAGAACTCCAGAAGACCCCCCCCCCAAGCACTAACAAGACAAAGCATCACTGCCCCAGACACAAGAACATAAGAGAACATCAGATCAGTGAAGGAGTATCCAGATGCACAACAGCTTCCCTCACCTGGCAAGTTCTAACTCTTTGTCTACTCAAAATTACCCTTGACCTGCTGTGCAATTTGAGCAAGGTGACCACCTGCACAGACCAATGTCCACACAACTGCTAGGTAGGGTTGCCAATCTCCTGGAGATCTCCTGGAATTACAACTGGTCTCCAGACAACAGAGGTCAGTTGTCATGGAGAAAATGGCTTCTTTGAAGGGCAAATTCTACGGCACGGGTGTCAAACATGCGGCTGCTGCTGCTGCTGCATCATAGCTTTCTTTGCCAGACTCTCTCACTCGCTCAGCCATTTCATGTTTTAACCTGGGTCCTAGATTCAGAACTCTGAGCATGAGATTTCTGTGCTGAAGGTCAATAAAGCAAAAGTAGGTTTGCAGCTTAAAGATACACACCTGAATAGCATACTCAGGATCGCAACAGCACAGACATTTTGATGCAATCATTCAGAGCAAGAGGTGTCAGTTATCACATTTGTTGTTGTTCAGTCGCACAGTCGAGTCCGACTCTTCGCGACCCCATGGACAAGATCTCGCCAGGCCCTCCTGTTTTCCGCCATCCTCTGAAGTTTGCTCAATTTCATGTTCGTTGCATCTATTATCTATAGTAGTTATCACATACTGTTAAATAAACAATACTGCAAGACTGCTGATGTTTTAAGCATGTTTTAATTTTAAGATTTAAAAAAATCTTTGCCTTTGTGTCCTTTATAAAGTTTGTATCTCCGCTACCTGGTGTTACATTTTATGACACGACAAGGTCTCATTTAGGTCAGATCCGGCCCTCATAACAAATGAGTTTGACACCCCTGTTCTACGGCGTTATACCTGTCTGCAGTCCTTTCCCTCCCTCAACCCTGCCTTCCCCAGGCTTGACGGCTAAATCTTCAGGAATTCCTCAACCTGGAGTTGGCCACCGTATGTCTAATGTCTCGGAGGCAGCCATGCTACCCACAAAATATTTGAATCAGGGGAAAAGTCCAGCCGGACAAGCTTTACCTCTGTAATAGGCAAACTGCAGGAAGTCGTAATGGAGGGGGAGGTAGTTGTCGATGGGAGAGAGACGCCCGGGCCGCGTGGCCAGTTCCCGCACACACTCATGTTGGCACGCCAGGACTTGCATGTAGTGATCTGTCGGGGGGGGGGGAGGAGGGAAGAAACACAAGAGCGCACACTTCAGACAGGACTGAAAAGTGAGAACATAAAAATACAATCTCAAATGGCTTTGAGGAGGCATCGGCAAGGAGACTGAAAGGTGGAAAGAACCTTCTGGAGTGGTAAAGACGCTGAACTGCAGGCTGTGGCAGGTCAGTCGTTCAGCCGTTCGAGACCCAGGTGTGCCGCATGATGGCGTGAGCTCCCGTCTCTAGTTCCAGCTCCTGCCAACCTAGCAGTTCGAAAGCAAGAAATTGCAAGTAGATAAATAGGTCCCCCTTCGGTGGGAAGGTAACAGCGTTCCGTGCACCTTGGTGTTTAATCATGCCGGCCACATGACCATGGAAACGTCTTCGGACAGCGCTGGCTCTTCGGCTTGGAAACGGAGATGAGCACCGCAACCCTAGAGTCAGATTCAACTGGCTTTTGAGCAAGGGAACCTTTACCTTTACCCTCCAAAGCAAAAAACCCCAAACAAATTACATTGATTTGATTTAGAAATGTAAATGTGAGGAATTCTCAAAATACGTTTCCTTTCCTTAGAACAGAGTCTGACGGGCACCTTGGGAATTCTGACACAGCGTGGTGGGCACCGCTACAAAATGGCTGCCACAAAATGGCTTCTGCAGAAGGTGGACCCAGCTACAAAATGGCTGCCAGAGCTTACCTTCAGTCACACAGTGAAGACTCTTGTGCTGTGGAGGTAACTGCTGCCAAAACAATTTTTTAAAAAAAAATCTGTACAGCCAAGCAGTCTTGCTGGGAGAAAAGGCCCAGATGGCCTCAACTACTTTCTGAAAACACTAGGTGGGCACCAGAAAAGGTCTCAAATCAAATAAAATCACAAACCTTTATTGGCACAACAGCACAAATCCATATAAAATACACTAAAATCTGTGGTCAGAAAGAACATCTCCTCCTAGAGGCCTGATACAGGAATTTTGCTACAGATGCAATGATTTCGCTCATATTTGAGGCTAAACGTATAAAGGTCTTACGATCATCGGATCGACCCTCCGAAGGTAGCAGGAAAGGCTTTAAAAATACAGTACGAAGGCCATCATAAAATTTACAATGCAAAATAGCACGGTTATTATCTTCAATCTCGCTCATCCCACATGGACACACAACCTATTCTGAATATGGAATTTTCTTAAATCTCCCATATAACACCATAGATGGGAGAACATTAAAATGGGCTATCATAAACATCCTACGAACACGAGGATCACACAGACAAGAAAGATATTCAGGAAGGGAAGGGACAGTATAAAAGCCTCCAACGCACCGGGGAACAACGTCCAGAGGCCAGGCTTTTCAATTCTTGTAACTCAATTTCAATAAGTCTTTGCTTGATCAAGGCCCCACACTGGAGACTCCTGCCTTAGAAGATACATTTTGCTGCTGGAGGAGAAAATAATGGTTCTTGACAAAAACTGCATTTTCCCTCCGCTGGAACACGTTCTGCAGAAAAGCCTGCAAGCAGCTGCTTTAGGAAACGGGAATCAGATGAGGCGCCATAATGCCAAGGGCTGAAGGTCGCCTGAAAAGGCACAAATTTAAAGCGCCGACATAAACAGAAGGGGACGTATGTCACCCAGAGCCGGCTGCCGCCCTTGAGACCACGTTCCTAGTTCGAGGCACTTCGTCTCTGGCCGACTCCACGCTGAAGTCTCTTTGGGCTTCCATTCCACCCATACGATCTTTGCTTTCTTGAATTCCTCCGGGAGTCTTCTTGTTCTCATGATGCCAGTGAGAAACTTTGCATGCCACTTCTTAGTGAACGTGCCACTGTTGATCAAGAAGTCATTGTGGATACAGTCAAATCCTGGTGCCTTTCCACTTTTGATATCCTTCAGTAGGATGCAATTCTAGCTCGCCTCCTCATGGCGCATCCTGGGCCATGCTAAAGGGCTAGAACTTTTGGCTGCCAGACAATCATAGGATTTCCTGGCTCTCATGGAAGGGCCCTGACCCTATACCAGGGGTTCCTTCCCTTTCTGCCTGATGAAGCCAGCTAATTCCAGCCTTTTTATTTGACACAAACAGAAGTCCACAGACAGAGCAGCCACACCCATCCCTGCCCGCCTGAGCCAAGGAGGTCAGAAATGTCATCTATGGACTCCCCAGTTAAAACGACTTCGAACTCTACCTCACTTCTTGTCTCTTTGAGAGGTGCAAAAATGTTTCAGGAACAGATGCAGGCTCGTAACGAAAGACGTGTTCCGCTGTTCTGGGACTGCACTGAGCCGCAGCGGGTTTGAAATCTGTACTACAACCAAGCAGGAACTTAAACTAATTTCCCATTTTTCTCCAGGGGCAACTTGGAGAGCTGACTGTGGGCGTGAAGGTCAGAGTTTCCACACAGTCTCCAAAAATACCGCTGTGTGTAGAAGGAATTAAAGCGGTTGGAACGGAGAAAAAATCCGGCTGCGTTGCCAGAGGAAGCGCTGCTGAATCCAACATGTGGCTGAAGGGGCCTGCACTCCTGAATAATCGCTCGTCGTTCCGAGCCTTCTTACAGGAACTTCCCACGACAGGAGGATCCAGGTTCCTGCTATAGCCAGCACTCTCTTCCCTGCCGCCTCTTGAATGAACAGCGCTTGTGGGGTGGGGAGTGTGATCACACTGAAGCATTACTGTGTCCAGTTTTGGGCACCACGTTTTAGGGAGGATGCTGACCAGCTTGAGCGTGTCCAGAAGGGGGCAACCAGGATGGCGAGAGGGCTGGAATCCAAGTCTTACGAGGAAAGGCTGAAAGAGTTGGGTCTGTTTAGTCTGGGAAGGAGAAGGCTTAGAGGGGACAGGATTGCAGTCTTCAAGTATCTGAAGGGCTGTCGTGTAGAAGACGGAGCAGGTCTATTCTCTCTTGCTCCGGATTGCGAGACTCGATCTAAGGGGTGGAAATGACAAGGGAGTCGATACCGGTCAAATACCAGGAGAAACTTCCTGACTGTAAGAGTGGTTGAGCAGTGGAACAGTCTGCCTCGGGAGGTGGTGGGTGCTCCTTCGCTGGACGTTTTCAAGCGGAGGCTGGGCGACCCTCTTTCAGTTATGTTGTACGGCTCTCTTTCGGCTCTGCTCCTATAGAGTGCAGGGGGTTGGACTAGATGACCTGCAAGGTCCCTTCCAACTCTAACATTCTATGATTCTATAATGTGTGGAAATTGCAAGAGAGTCGATACCGGCTCAACATCAGGAGAAACTCCCTGACTGTAAGAGTGGTTGAGCAGTGGAACAGACTGCCTCGGGAGGTGGTGGATGCTCCTTCGCTGGACATTTTCAAGCGGAGGCTGGACGACCCTCTTTCGGGGATGTTGCAGGGCTCTCTTTCGGCTCTGCTCCTGCAGAGTGCAGGGGGTTGAACTAGATGACCTGCAAGGTCCCTTCCAACTCTAACATTCTATGATTCTACGTCACTTCTAGTGTGAAACAGGAAGTGACATCATTATGTGGAGGCGAAAAGATCAATCCTGCCCACCAGTAACTCCACCAGTTTCTATTCCATGACTCCCTATGGAACTATCAGCCTGCCTACCCATATTGTTTATCCACATCTGCTCTCCCCAGACCCCTGGGACACTATTTTTCTTCAGGCTATGCTCAACCTAAAAATCCCGTGGTCCAAGAATGTGTGCTCATTAAACTTCTAACCTGGGACTCCTTCCTTCAACCAGTTTGGTGGTAGTAGTTAAGAGCATCAGGCTCTAATCTGGAGAACCGGGTTGGATTCCCCACTCCTTTTCCACATGCAGCCAGCTGGGTGACCTTGCGTCAGTCACAAGTTCTCTCAGAGCTGTTCTCTCAAGAGCAGTTGTCTCAGGAAATAGGGGGTGGGGATTCAGAGGAACAAGAAATGCCCCCTCAAAGTCCTCGTGGGTCCCCCCCCCCACTTGTTCCATCTAATTCTAGGAAGGCTGTCAACTAGCTCCATATTGCCTGGTCAGGCTGACAGCAGCTCTCCAGGCCCTAAAGAAGAAAGAGGTCTTCCTCGGCTCTGGTATCTTGGGCGTCCAACAGGTAAGGCACGTGCTCTAGCGCTGAGATCTGCCCTTTAAGCCATAACCTGTAGCCACCCCACTTTGAAAGTGCAACGGGCGCTACCAGGGCTCGGGAAGGAACAAACTGGGGGTGAAGGAATGGCTGAGAGCAGGCCCCACAGAAGCAGCCAGGGCTCCCTCTGAGCTGAGTTAGTGGTGAGCTAGCTCACAGTGTTTTAGCCTCCAGCTCACACAGTTCTGTCCGCTCAGGAAGGAGGGCTCCAGAGCAAACGAATGTATGCAGTAGCCGGATCGCTCGCTCACCACTTCAATGCCAGTAGCTCACAAAGTAGAATTTTTGCTCACAGGACTCCACAGTTTAGTGGGAGCATTGGAAGCAGCCCCCTTAGGAGGAGGAGGAAGAGGAGGAGATGTACCCCCCTTTCCTTCTTTGGCAACGCAACAGGCCAATTGCCAGGGTCAACCTGGTAGGGCACCTGGGTTTCGTGTCCTTCTCCACGAATGCCCTCCGCTAGGCCTATTGCTCCGAGCGGCGATATTTATCTTCCATAGTAGCAGCAAGAGCAGCATAAATAAACCTCAGCCCGCAGCCTGCGTCAGGCATCGACAGCCGCTAAATAAACCTCCTGCAGCCAAACGGGCTCTGGTTTATCGCCAGCGTTTCCCCTCATGGCCAATCAAGCCATTCACGATAGTCTTCATTCTTAACCCGGCTGGGATGAGGGCCAGGATGGGGAGGAAACGATCCGAGGCCTCGTTTCTTTCCACGGATTTTCGGCCTCCCAGCTTCGCAAACAGCGGAGCGCTCACCACGGCCAGACGGTGTCCACCTCACCCACTGGGGGAAGGAGTGGTACTCGGAGGAACGGGGCTCGGGAAGTGGGCCGCCAACCGACTGTGACACTTCCAGATTGGCCGGGCGGGGAGGGAAGAAACAGCCCCAGCGCAATGGAGTCCAGGAAGAAGAAGAAGAAG